ATTTCCAATGGAAATGAACAGGTGCGAACCAACATTATTTGCATGTACCAAAGAGCATTCTGTATAGTGTTCTGCTGTATCTACATAAAGAAATCACCTCCTTGCTGGTAAGTGGATACAGAGGCCAGCAGATGCTCAGACCATCAATGATACAGCCAGGATGATTTTTGTTTAGAGCACACTGCTCCATTAGCATTTTCTGTGCCATTATCATATCAACTCTAAACTTATGCCAGTATTATTGGAAGAAATGAAGTCGGCATAATACACAAACTAGAAGAAGAGACAAACTTAGACTCTACATGCATGATCTTCCAAGTCAGAGGCCTCTTCCCTTTCCAGATTCTAACTGCTCTTCCCTTTGCAGTAAACGAAACTGCAAGAACAAATTGTATCTTATTTCGGTGACATACCTGAGTGCCATTTTAGCCAGTGAACAAAGAAGCCAAAGGTGGCCTTTTGTGACACCCCTGAAGTAGTCCTTCTGGAGATCTGGGCTGCTTCTTGTTCAAGCTGTTTTCATCAAGAGGACAGTAAGGGAAACACACTCACTCTTATCACCACAGGAGATGAGATAAGGAGCTTTGCACAGTATATGAAATCCTACCTCTCTTCTCCCTGGCTTTCCAAAGTGTTAAGAGATGCAAATGTATTGTCTTAGCAAGCAATTTAAAGTTAACATTTTTTTTTTTTAATGTGCCTTTGGTCATTGGGTTTTGTGGGAAAGCTTCTTGAGATTTGCCTACATGAGGGACTGTGTCCTTGATGACAAATGTAACCAACAGAGTTAATTTCATCAAATCCAATACCAACACAGTAGGATTGGCTTTAAGTACATCATCTGTACACCATCAGCATGGGGGTGGGGGAAGAGAGTCTTTTTAACTCTCGGATTCATCAAATAACTGAATTTGTAGTAGACGTGATAAGAATATTAGCCAAGCATAGAGAAAAAATATATATTCAGGTGAAAGTGGGGAGGAGGAAATTCCTATTATATCTCTGTCAACTTATCAGTCTTAAGTAGTGCTATTCCATGCAAATGTAATGTAAGCCATTAGGTATTGTCATTTAAAATTGCTACTAAGGCACATTAAAACAAATTAAAGCTAGTAGGTAAAATTGATTAATTTTTACCTAAACCAGTTTATCTAAAATGTTATCATTTTAATATACAAAATAAAATTAGGAGCAAATTTGCTTTTTGTATATGTGGTACCAGGTGTTTAAAACCTAGGGTGTTTTACAAATTGAGCACCTTTCTCTATGGGTTAGTTTCATTTCAAGTACTCCAGAACCCCACATGGCTCTATAACCTCTGTATTTTCTTCTTAAAACTTATAAATATCTGGAATGGTCTTTAAAATAGATTATTATTATTATTATTATTATGTATCATGTATTATGTATCATGTATGCATACAGGTATGTGTGCCACAGTATTTATGTGGAGTCAGAGGACAATTTTGTGGAGTTGGTTCTTTCCTCTACATTTCATGGGCTTCATGGATAGAACTCAGGTCTCCAGGCTTTCGCGACAAGTGACAAGTGTCTTTACCCATGGGGCCTTCTTACTAGACCTTGAATGATCTCTATGTGTTTGTTCAACTACCTGCTAACTACCGTTGTTCCTTAACATAGAAGTACCACAAAAGCTAGCTAGATTTCTGCTTTTTCCTCCATCGTCCAATCAACTACTCAACACACAGCAGAACGCAGACGAATTAATGACTGGATGAACCCTTAACACAGGAAGTACATGTAAATAGTGTCTTGATGCAAAAACTAGCAGAAACTAAAAATCCTAGAGTTCTTTGAACTTGAAAGGATTGCCCAGGACAGCCAATCAGGCCCAGCTTCATCTGCTGACACTGAGTATCACTTTTCTGAAATTTACCAGCTGGGCCGGGTGAGGGTCAGAAAAACTACTATTCATAAGTGGTTTGTTGTTGCTACCAGTTAATATGCACCACAAGTAAAGTATCTGTTCACCTCACTTAAGACCATCCACCGCATGTGGTCTTCCCTGCCCTTGAGAACAATCCAAGTCCATTTGGCATGATGCAATGTTCTGATATTGGGAAGGTTGGCAGCACTGGGTGATGGAAAAAGAATGGATGACCAAGTCAGACAGACCTGGGTTTTCTGCCCCAAACTGTGGGGGCTGGGCAAATTAGGTAAATGCTTCTAGCCCTCATTTCTCTTGTCTGGAAAACTTTACAGGATAATTCATACCTTCAGCTTCTCTGTGAGAACTGGTTGAGGTACTGTATGGGAGTGTTCACTACACTACCCTTCACTGGAAAGTTTCAGTGAATGGTATCAATATTACCATCTTTGCATGCAAGTACTCTAAAGAACACGCTGATCATCAATGTCTCCTACTTTGGGAGTATGTAGCTTCCTTCTCCTTAAGGTTTGAGATTTTTCTTCTACTTGAACCTGAGAGGTCAGGTTGAGTTGAAATCTTAAAACTTGTACTGTGCAATGACAGATAGCAATGGGGACATTTGTCTCTACGTAGGCAATTTATAGTGTATTTGGAGATAGATCTGGGGACTTTCCTGGTTTCATTCTCAACTGCTTGTAGCTATAGGCACAGATAGCTATTTTGTATTCAAAATTATAGGCCAGAAAGGATCAGAGAGCAAGTCTGAGAATCTATGCCAATCTGGAAGTATTTTATTTGTTGCCAATACACAGAGTTCTGCTTGACATAGCACAGTTGAGACAGTAAACTTGACCCTGAATTCTGAACCTCTCTCTCATCTTAGAGACTAATGAGCTGGTTTCACTCTTCTGGTCACATAAGCCTCATAGGAGAGAGAGTGAGCTGCTCTGAAATGCATAGACTAGTGGGCACTTGCAATGTAACATTAAAATTAACGACAACAGTTGACCACTGAACATGTGTCAGGCTGATACAAATAGTATTTCCATTTCCTCAACAACCACACAAGAAAAGCAGAATTATTCCCCATCTTACAGCCAGGGAAAGTGAGGCTCAGAGAAATCCAGTGACTTGCTGGAGTGTAGCTATAATTTGAAGTGCAGGCTCAGGACTGAAGCTCTCAGGCTTCAATGCCACGTGCTTTCTGCTCTACAGCCCCTGTGCTGTTGGTGGAAGACTCGTTTCTATGAGGTGTGAGACCCTCTAGACTTTTAAAGAAAAAGTATATATGCCCAAAGGAATATTACCCCTTAGCCACACAGTGTTTGGGGGAGCCAATCAAGCAAAGCCTTGGCTCGCTCTCTGAGAGTCAGCCAGTTGGCCTGAAGGACATTGGTTCATGTGGACACCAAATGGTCCTCTCACAGGGGTCGCATATATTCACATGACAATTCACAACAGTAGCAAAATTACAGTTCTGAAGTAGCAGCGAAAATAATTTTTATGCTTGGAGGGTCACCACCTCATGAGGAACTGTATTAAAGGGTTGCAGGGTTAGGAGGTTCAGAAGCACTGTTCTAGGGTATGGCATTAAGAGAGTTGAGAGGAGGGGTCCTCTGGAAGCACAGAGACTGATGAAGCCATTGAGGAAACAAACTGTCAGAGCACCCTAGGAAAGAGGACTGTCTTTGCTAGCAGCGCATCAGACTCTCCCAACACTACCAATGATTCCCAAAGCCAGCACAGCCACCAGCAAAAGCTTGGCTGGATGGGTCCTGATGCAGCATCCTTAAAAGACAAGGGATTTTCAGGCATGGACAGCAAAGGCGTGCTCGTGTACAATTCTTCCTGTTCCTTAAGCATAGTTTCCACCCTGGGGAAATGATTCAATTGATTCTCAAAAAGACCCTTACTTTGAAAAAGCCACTGAAATAAAAGCAACAACAACAACAACAGCAACAAAACAACCCAACAACAACAACACCTAAAATGTTCCTGTTTTCTGCACTGTTCAGCACCTCTATTCCACTAAGAACTTACATAAAGAATTACCAGTTTCCCTAAATTTTGCAGAGTAAACTGAGGAAAGAGAAGGTACTATACTACTCAAGGATGTAGTGTAGTCTAACGGAGGCAGAGATAGGATTGGTCAAGACATTCAGGTGGGAAATCTTTCCCTGCCAATTCCATGAATGGAGATTAAAGGACGTTCCCACCCTCAGGAGATTAATAACAGGTTGCAAACATTTTCAGGCTCAATTACAGAAAACCTCAAGTTGCTGGTTATTAGGGAAACAAGGGTTGCTTCCCTACCACACAGGTAGAGGTCACTAACAGGATATTTTTCCACCCATAACGCCACAACTACAACCCTTGTCTTCCCCTACCTCAGCAGTCCCGGTCTGGGTTCCCAGAGTCTAGCCCCCTTCTCTGCTCCCTGGTCCCCGTTCTCTGTTCCAGCGGTGTGTCCTTGCTTCTAACCCAGGACTTGAATTCCTAGCGCCTGGGCAGTAGGTTAAGACTGGGAGATGCTTCCCTGTCACTACTCAGCTGCCTTTGGGAGTGGTGTGTGTGTGCACGCGCGCGCGCGGGGAGGGGCCAGGGGGCGCAGGTAACTCAGTGTCCCCCCCCCCAACCCGGCACCCAGCTGTGCTACCTACAGGAGACTGCCCAAGTTAGCTTCCATCACGACCCTCTCTGATCTTTTCCACCCCCCTGCTCTCTCCCTAGCTTTTCATTTGTACACAAACCACCTGCAACCCCAGAATCCCACAATCACGCCGCACTCCTTCTCAAGGGCGCACTTGAAGGTATATTTTAAAATACGCTGGGCGCCGTTGTAAAAGCTGGGGTGCGTGGTCAAGCACCTCGGCATATATTTAGCTTCTCTGAAGAGGGACATCAAGGTTTGGCTTTAAGCATGGTCACAGCACGGGATGGGATTTCCTCGTGCCCGCGGGCTCTTGCTGCTGCCTGGCATTTCCCCAAGCTGTCCCTGCCTGCAGCCAACAGCTCCTCTCCCACACGCGGCCTCGAACCCGCGGCCCTAGAGAGCGCCCGCCCGCGCCTAGCCTGGCTGCGCGCAGCCGGGTCTGCCCTGGGTACTCACTTTTGCTGGGGAGAAAAGTCTGCCATAGCAGGCGGTGAGCACTTCCTGCAAAGGACGGGAGCTTTATCACTGCAGGTAAAGCTGTTTCCTGAGCCCTGGGTAGAATCCAGAAGCAGGAGAAGAGCGAATAAGACAGAATAGCGCGGCGGCGGGGAAAGCCCAGCCCAGAAGACCCGGCGTCTGGGGATTTTAGCCACTGCTCCGCAGTCGCCAGCCGCGTGTCTCTGCGAAGAAGCTCAACTCGGTGCACTTGTTCACTCTTTCTTCACTAGAGGAGGAGTCAGTGTTGCAACAGGCATGTTCCTTGCTGGAGGCAAAACAGTGATTTTTCTCCAGCATGCAAAAGGTCCAGAGTCTGCCAATTTTACAAGGTGACGGAGGTAGTTGGGGGAGCCGGAATACTGAGAAGAGGTGGACAAGAAAATTTCTGATTTCCCCCGGATCCGTTTTGCATGATCAAGGAAGGGGCCGTCTTCCACAAAGACCTGACCAAACAATAATAGAAATGCCCTTTAAGTCGAGTGACCTCAGAGATGATATTTCTCTCAGTAGCCAAGATGAGGCTTGGTGTCAAATTTCTTTCCTTGTTTCCCAGCCTAACCCTGAGCAACACTGGGGAGCAGCTTGACAATACTTGAGGGGGCTCTGGGGATTTGAATCACACCTTTCCTGAGAAGGAGGAGGAGTCAGAGAAAAGTGGTCGACAGAGAATAAGCAGTGACCGGGGGAAAGCTTTGCTTTCTTTTTTAACACAGCAAAACTTCCAGGGCTCTGCTTGGTGCCCAGCCACGTCACAATAGTACAGAAACACCCGCAGCCTCTCAGGAACCCACGATTAATGCAGAATATATCTCCTCAAATAGGCTGCACGACCTGTATGTTATTTTGTTCTGTTTGGGATGTTCAACAAGCCATTGCTTTTTCTCTTGTACCCCTCCCCATATTCTCTTGAAAACAAAATGTTAAAAACAAATACTCACAGCTACTTGACTCAAACAGTTATCTCCCAACAGGTAAGTAGGCAGTGTGTGATGTCACTGATTAATATTGCATCCTGTTGGGATATAACTCAGAGGGCCACTGTGGGTTATTTTGAACAAGCTATTGAGGTTTTTTTGTTTTGTTTTAAACCATTGAAACACTGTGCTTTCTTCCTTGAATTGATTGACACCTTGCAATAACTGGCAAATCACATTCAGCGGTCTCCTTCTGCCACAGCTCAGTAAACCTCTAAAAGCCCCATGATGTTTGGGTGATCCTCTTGCATTACAAGAGGCACACATATGGACACAATGTTTGCTACTCAATAACTCGTCCTGTACAAGGTAAACCATGGCCTACATCTGGTTTTCAGAGTAAGTGGGGTGTGCATCTGCCACGCACACGCTGTGCAGGTTTCTGGTGACTGAGGTGCACTTTTGCTCACAAGTACGATGAGTGTATAATACCTATTTATTTTAAAAACTAATGAGTGTTATCTCCAATGGCAGAACACAGACATGCTTACCAGCCAAGGTAGGTCCCAATTAACCCATTGTTGTTGAAGATATTGTAAGTAAAAAAGAAAACAGAATTGAATAGAGACACCTGCTGAACACCATGGCCTAGCCTTTTCTTGCCTATCAAACCTGCTCAGAACATGAATATTTGCCTGAATTTGGGAAAAATCATCTAACACATAGCTCAACTCAACAGGATGCTTATACAGGTACATTATCACATCATTAAAATGTCAAAAACGTCTTGGACTGACATAAGTTGGTGATTATATTTCTGCGTGACCTTTGAAAAGTCAAGGGATTACTCAGTTAACTGTAGTTTTCCTGATCATTCTATTTTCACAGATAATGGAAAGAATCTTCCACCTTTGGCTACTCAAAACTGTTAGCTTTCCTTGTGGTTCCACACATCCGTGCTCCTGCTCTGCAGCAGAGGTGGGTTACCGCACAGGTTAAATGACTAATACATGTATTATTTAGAGAGAAGGTCAGGTTCTCTGCTTTGCTGTCCCCAAGCCACAGGCATTCACAGTCAGTGAATTTCCTTGTACTCTACCATGTGTTCCTGAGATGATGAAGGAAGTCCTGTGTAAGGCAGACTTTTCTCTCTCCTCTACAGCTATATTGTGACTCTCTCCTCTTCTACACACTGACAAGATTCACTATTTCCTTGTGTTCTCTTTTTGCTTAGATCCATATCCACCTCAGTGTATGGATGCCTCCTTTTTGTCTAGCTGATACATCCAGCTGTGTCTTGGACTCTTTATCTACTCATTGCCTCCAAGACCTTGCTCCACAGTTCAAGGTAAGGCAAGAATACAGGAACTGACCTTAGTTTGGATATTGCTATTCATTTGGCTTCCGTGAGCTTCACCTATTGTAAGTCAGGCTCAGTAGCATATGCCTCAAAAACCCAATAAGGGGAAAATAATGCCAATAGAATGTGTAAAATACCATTCATGCTAATAAAAACCTTACAGTGGTAAGTTTTTGGTTTTTGTCTTGTTTTTGCCTGCCTGTGTCCTAACCATTTTCCTTGCATATTTTTTGCCTGTCCCATTGGTTTTATTTCACAGCTTGCTCACACCTTTCCTGGCTCAACTACACTTTGGATAAGCTTACAACCTAATTCACTCTTTTCTTCATTTTCAAATTTAGGAAAGCAATACACAGTCCTCAGCTTTCTTGACTTCCTTTCCTTTGACTTGATGATTCTTATCCCTGACTGCAGACCAGCGACCGAGGAGTACTGGCTTAGGGTTTCTGTTGCTCCAACACAACACCATGACCAAAAGCAAGTTGGGGAGGAAAGGGTTTATTTGGCTTACACTTCCATGTTGCTGTTCATCACTGAAGGACGTCAGGGCAGAAACTCAAACAGGGCAGGATCCTGGAGGCAGGAGTTAATGCAGAGACCATGGAGGGGTGTGGCTTACTGGCTTGCTCCTCATGGCTTTCTCAACTAGCTTTCTTATAAACCCAGGACCACCAGCCCAGGGATAGCACCACCCACCATGGGCTGGGCCCTCCCTCGTTGATCACTAATGGAGAAAAGGCCTTCCAGCTGGGTCTTGTAGAGCCATGTTCTCAACTGAGGCTCCTTCCTCTCTGATGACTCTAGCTTGTGTCAAGTTGACACAGAACCAGCCAGTACAAGTGTCCAAATCTCAGTGTTGGAGCCCCTTGAAAAACTTCTAATACAAGAGGTTTAGAGTGCTTTTTCTATTCCTACAAAAAACATCAAGTGTACTGTTCATTATTTTGTTCCTTGTCTTCTGCCATGAACACCCATCAGCTGCTCCCTGGCCAGGGTTATCTTAGCCTTTCCCCAGCTCTCTGTGTCCTACACCCCTCCTCTGTGAACTCTCCTCTATTTCCTCTCAGGACCCTGCATTCCTACTTCACCCTTTCTCTGCTAACTTGTGTTGGTTTCTGCTGTGGCACCCCTTCTCCCTCCTCTTCCTAACTGGGGACGCTTTTGTCTCTAGTCCTTCATTTCTTCACTTTAAGGATCACTTTCCTTTTTTTAACACAACAGAAAATGCTAGAACTATCACAAGAGTGAAAAGAAAAATCACACACAATCCTGCTGTCAACAAAACAAAATAAAATTACAACTATATTTGTAATGTTTAAAAAAAGTAAGATCTTTCCAAATCACATACCCTCTTTGTTTTTCCTAGTCCCATTTCCAAAGGAACCCATCACTGACATATGAACACATATTCATCCTTTTTCAAATGTACATAGCTATTCATTTACTCATCTATAGGTATTTGCATATATTTTTAAACTAAAAATGAGTTTATTTTCATGGCTTGTCTTTTTTTTGTTCAACAATATAAGAAAAAAATAATCTTTCTGTCCCCTTTTCTGCAATGTTCCCTGAGTCTCAGGTAAGGGAGTTGTTTTGTAGTTGTGTTCCTTTGGACTGGACTCCACAGCTCTGCATTTTGATTGATGATGGTCTACTGTAATGGTCTCTGTTTACTGCAAAGAGAAGTTTCTTTGGCAAGGACAAGGGCAACAGCAGAAAGCCCAGGGGGCCTCAGTACTACACAAAAAACTACAGGGAGCTTACTGGGAGATTTTCTCTTCTAATAATGTCAGAAGCTACATCCATAAAGTCTCACCACCATGACTGCCTCAACATGAGCTGAACAAGAGCAACAATAGGAATGTTAACATAGACAGGGTTGGATGGGGGGACCCCCCACAAGGCCTCAGCCCTACATGAAGAGCTACAGGCAGCCAAAAAATGCTAAGAGTGGGAGAAATAGTCTTCCCCAGGGAGGAGCACACCACTTGGTTATTCAATACCATATGATCAGCCCTGAAAACACATGCAGGTAACATTTTACATACTGAACAGGTTGTATTTATGTATTTAGGAACATATATGTGTGTTTATAACAATAGTGATTTTAGGGGCTATCTAGGTTTTAATTTCTTTCTTTCATCCTCTCTTGCTACACTTTTGGTCATTAAAACACTTTTTTTATTGTCAAAAGTGCTGCTATGATTGTCTTTGTATAGGGTAGGCACTTAGAAATGTCAGAATTTGGATAAAGACAATGGCTCTTAAAATCAGAAAGGCTACCAAATTTCCCTTATAGAATGTTATAGGCAAATGTTTTAAACATGAAACTATTGAGTCAGAGACAGGGCATTTAAAAAATAACGTATTTGTTAATTATTTAATTTTATACAAATGCACAATGTATTTTGATCATATTCCCCGCCCCATTCTAGGGTGGATCCTCCTAGATCCACCCCCACCTCACAAGTTCATGTCTTTCTTTGTTCTTCAATAACCTGCCAAGTCCACTTTGTGCTGTCCATATAGTTATGGTTATGGGACTACCCAATGGATCATGATCCTCCTTGCAGGGGACACAGCCTTAAAGAAAAGAAGTCAGGGCTTTCTAAACTGTTGCTTATACTTTCAAATCCCATCACCAAAGGTCGATTCATCTGCTCCTATCAAGCTTCCTTCCTCACATCTTTTCGAACACGGGGCCTTATTGATGTAATCATGTCAGATCTAATCTGATAAGCAAGATTGCTTGTTCTAAGTTGCAATGTACTGATGAGCCGAGCCTCCTGTTATAGGAGATGTTCTTACCATGGCTATCAAATCTGATGCTTAGTTTTCTTTCAAGATGTTTGCTTTTAAAAATCAATTTCAGTATCTCTTATTAAGTATATTAACACTTTACCAACTACGTGGCAAACGATTTTCCCCCTCTGTTATATTTCCCTTGATTTTGGTTACAGACTGATGGACTGCACAAAAATTTTTCATTTTCACATTGTTGAACCCACACATTCTATCTGATAAGGTCTCTGAGTTCTCTGTCTTGCTTCTTTATATAGAACTGATGAAAATGTTTATTCTTCTTTCCAAAATAAATCTTTAATTACCTGGAGATTTATTTTTTAAATGCAATTGAGATAAAAAGTTTAATTTTCTTTTGAATGCATGGTCAATGACTCAGTTACTCCTTATTTTTAAAATGTGTATTTTACTACATTTACTACATAACTACAAAGCTAATATGTTTTAGTGGTCTGTATTGTGAGGATTCTATCAATCTTTTTATAAATTTTTCTGATATGCTTACTATGATGGTTTGAATAAGAATACCTGCCCTCCAATAGGCTCATATATTTGAATG